CCGAAGTCTGATTGCAGCCATTTTTCAAGCGGCAACCCTCAAGTTTCTCGGGCACTTACGACCATTTTTCAGCCGTAGTTTTTTTAGCCCTTCTGCTCTCATATGAAAGCCCAAAGACACAGGGAGTTGATCCTGGCAACGATTTACACAATCTCACTATTTTGGGGGCCAAACAATCTCCTTTTTAAAAAGATACTGTGAGGGGGGCACTTTTAATGCTAATGAGATGGTCAAACATTCTCACTTGAATTAGTGGTCTGCACCCGTTACGAGGCAGGGCGGGCACGGGGGGGTCGAGGGGTTCGAACGAATCCCCCCACCCCGCTCGCTTCTGAGTTCCGCTTGTTGGTGGTCTTTTTTGTGTGTGTACTGAATATTTTAAATATACCACAATATTTGGCATACAAGCCACAGCTTTATAGGCCTACGTTGATTCTCAAGCTCAAGGTGACCACGATTCTGCATGATAATGAGTCAATCTTCAGTCATATGTACCGTGAGGATGTTCCAGCAAATATCCACACGGGTGTCTCAAAGGGTTTGAAATCAATGTATTTTTGTTAAGTTCGTTCAATATTGAAAAATGCTGTGTACAAGTCTTACATACATTCTTGGTTAGCGATAGACATGCAACTTTTCAATGTACTCCAACACTCATTGTGATAGGCCTTTGTATAAAAATATGTGTTCACAGTGTCAAAAGTTCCACTTTTTGGTTTGACGACCCCCCCCCCGGTCTCTGGTCAGGCAACGGGCCTGTGAGGGATGCATTCCACCAACTGGTTGTATTTCTGCGCGCAAGCTGATGAATATTTTGTGATCCCACGGGGTTTTTTTTACAATAAGACATGCCCATAATCAGGAGGGATCATAGAAATATTTCTGTAAGTCCCGAATTTGGGACTGATAGTTTCCAGTTCGGGTACCTATTTCATTCACAAAAAGCCCAAAGTTGCGGGCCTATATTGGATAGAGGCGGGCGGCTACATTCAGAGCTGAGCGCAAAATTTTACTACTATTTTAGGGGTATGTTCGGGAAAAGGAGAATAAAAAAAATTCATGGCTAACCCCCCTAAAAATTTACACGGAAAGTGATCTGCTGGCCATTATCTTGAATTTCCAGTGAAATAAAACTGAGGCGAACGTCTTCACGAGAGTCAACATGCGGCGCTATTTCGGTCCGATTTTGGACTGTTTTCTATGGGCGCGTACTTAGTGTATGGTGCAACCCGACGTCAAAATCCTGCGCGTACGACCACTGAAGTAAAAAACAACGGTGGCGACGCTTTCCTCTAAATCACTAGATTTCTACGCGCGAGCTCATTACGTTGTGTGATTCTCACGGATTATTTACAATGAGAGGTTACATTATCGGAGCCAAGCATAGAAATATTCTACATTTATTATTCTCAAATATGGGACATGTGGCCTCGAACTCGGGGTACTGATTTTCTTCACAAACCTCCCATTATGGGCCTATACAGGCGAGCAGCTACGTTCAGGTTTGAGAGCAAAGCCTAGGGGAAGGGTGAATAAAAGAAAATTGCTCGGCCAACTGTTAGATATTGAAAAGAAAACCGGACTTCTGGCCATAATCTTAAATTCCCTGTGAAACACGGTTGCCAACTTATTCCCCGGGGTCACCAGGCCGTGCTATTTCTGTCCAGTTTTGCACTGTTTTTATGCACTTGTTGTCTATGGGCGCGTAGTGCAACCTAAATCGCTGAGGCGTGGCACATTGTAGCAAGCAAAAGACCTTCACACTAATAAATTCATAATTATGGACGCATGCGCACATATGGCCCTGGCGGGAAGAAATGTGATAGGGCCATTGAAAAGGTGCAGAGGTGCGACAACCTACACCAAGAACTCAACCACATCAAGTCCGCCCTCAAGATGAACGGCTACCAACGTATCAACCTTTCTAAGAACGGTCAGAGCACAGGCCGAAACGTCGAGTTTATACCCACCGGTTCTTTTAAGAACCACTCGTCCAAAAGAGATTGATTCCATGGTGTACCCGCAAATCCATTTTTCATGATTTATCCACCACGCAAAGTTCAAATCTTACTTAATTTATACTACCTATGATAGACGGGGGCCATACTCAGAAAAAAAAACATGGACGTTGGCCTGAAAACTGATATTCTAGCAGACGACGCATATCAGTGGTGACCCATGTGAGGGATTTGTCCTACCATTTCCCTTGAAGACCTCGTGTGTGAATAAATTCCCAAGAATCTAACAAATGGTGAACAGCTTCTGGTAAGAAAGATCTCATGAAAATAATCAAAGAAGAGGAAAATGTCAATTTCACGACAAAGTATAATTATGAAAAATGTCATTTTCCCCTAACTTTGTGTCTAATTTTCACAATCTTGCCGGGTTTACCTTCAAATACCTTTGATGCCACATAATTGACTTGTAACTCTTATGGTTAAAAAGTTTATGGTTATTACTTTTAGGCAGAAAACATTTGTGAACTTCACTTCGTTTTTAATTGGGACGCAATTTCGTAATTTTCCGTGTTTTTCATGTAGTGCCCAATTTTCACACTTTTGTCAAATTCCCCTCAGGTCGTCGGTGGTACTGTCTGGAAGACTGATGAATCGTTTGTATCCATCAATCCATTTTCCTTGTGTCTGAAATGCAGTTCGTTTTTCATGCGGATTCAAATTTCCGTTCTGAGCCCGACATGACCGGTAGCGGTCAAAAATGAGATGTCCGCATTTTGGGCACGACATACACGTACACGCACATACACCTGGATACGACGAGTTTGTTTCGGTACGAGTTGACTTTTACCGTTACATTGCGCTAATAACTACAACGACGTCAAATTGCCCCCCCCCCCCAAAAAAAAAAACTTTCCATTTTAATTCATACGGTTTCCGTCTTGCATAACACTTTCTCAATAGAGCGTTCATGATATTCCGCACTATCCACAAGTAGAGAAATGTTAGAGAAAACCCGGCTAAACTGAGAAAAATCCCCTCTAAAATGTTGGCTTCAATTCCAACTTCCAACTTAGTTTAGAGTTACGTGAGAAAGACGAGCAAAAATTTCTCAGAAAACGGATTTTTATCATGTGGAAGTTAGCAAAAGGGACTTTGAGTGTTTAAAACTAATTGGTACGGAAATGAAGGGCAAACAATTATATCTGAGCTTGATGTTGATCAATTTTTTAGGGGTCCACCTGTCCGAGTCAAGAGCCATTTTACTGGCTTTTCTGGCTGTAGCGGAATTCAGTACGCGCGCATGCACACACAGTGAGGGGACACAAACACAGATGGGCTTGCAACCAATGCATTTGTGCGCATGCGTGCTGCACTCAGGACGGTACGGGACGTATGCAAATAAATCTACCAACGGAGCTGGCCTGGGAATTATCATGATGATGCAGACGTTCATGATTAGATTTGAGCATTGCCTGCCATGATTGTCGAGGGTTAGGTTGGGTGATCGTGTGATGTGCGACTACACTATAGTTGAAGTTTATGGACGTCGTGGCCGAACAACGCTTCTACAGAACAAGACAGATTCTCTAAATGCATTATCCAAAAATTCTGTCTACTGACAAAAAAGAGATTAGTCAGTGAGTATTTGTAAATGAAATGTAAATGCGAAAACGCCGAATGTCTTGGAATCATGCCGTTTACGAAAGAAGAAAGAGCAAAATTGAAAGCCGAACGGTTTCGTGCTGAAGTTGGACTAGGCCTAGCTGATGGGAACAATTCCACCGCAGAAAATGTAAAACAAGAAGCAGATGGGAGCCCTGAGGAAAACTCTGCCGGTAGTTTGACACCATGTTGTGTGCCATTTGGTTGTACCGTTGCCAAAATGGTTAATATACTGGACCCAGATGATGTGGAGAAGGTTGTTTGTAACAACGCTGATTGTATGCGCGGTGAGTACATGCATAAATCATGCTTTCTTACTTGGGAAGAAGAGGTTCTAACTTACTTACGATCATCTGGACGAGCCCGTAGCTGGTCTGAAAAACAAAGACGTCAGAATTTGTGGACAAAAAAGGGATACGACTTGGCATGGAAAGCATGTTCTTGCCAGTGTGGAAAAGGACATTTACGAAAAGATCTTGACTGGATTCCACCCAAACGTGTTGTTGCTGAAAGTGGAGAGGGCAACCTTCGTAGACAGCGGAGACGTAAGAAATCCAGTGACAAACCCAGCATTGGCAAAGCCACCACCCTCCCAGCTACCAACCCTCATTCAGGAGGTGGGCATGGCCGTCACCGACATGCGTCAGCATCTTCCAATGAAAACCACACTCCACCACACAGCCCAGTTGTGAAAACAGACTTCTCCGTTTCTTCACCCAGTCAGTCTCCCTACACTTGCATGAATTCATTGTCATCAAGCATCCATCAACAGGGAACACTTGGAAATGTAAACCATCAACAGCATGTTAGGTGCAAGCGCCACTCTGAGGGAAACAAGCCTGATTCTTTTGAATGGCCACCTCCAAGACAATGTAATACTTGCTCAGAGGGAGGTGATGGCTTAAAAAATATCAGTCTTAATTCTTCAAGTGGAGGGCTTGGTCTGTTACCAGGACAACATCATTCTCAGTCCCATGAAAGTATTGGGCAAGATAAAGGTAATGATCAGGTAGGACAAGACAGCAATAGCCCTTACCTTATTCAAACTGAAAACAAAGGACAGAGGAAGATCGGTGCAGGTTATACGATGCCATTTATACATCGTGTGGATCTATCAGTTTTTGTCAAGCTGTTACCACCACAAAAATGCAACCCCTACCACATAAGGATGGATAATGAACAGGGCCCAGATGACGATGAAGTTAGAGTGTTTGTATACAGTGCGTTGGCCTCACATGGTGTTGCATCCATGATCTGCTCCATGTGTCAAAACCACCTGCCAGTCTTTGATTGCTACCCTCTAATTGATGGTACATTTTATTTGACACCTCTCAACCACAGTGACTTGAACTTACGTTTGATAGTGAATGGCCGTGTTCAGTACCTTGGTGCAGTGTGCATGCAGTGTCTTGAAGGAGTCAAGCATATTGTTTGTCGCATCTGTCATTCCCGTTGGGATGGGAGTCACCACCAACTCGGCACAGTGTACTCCTATGACATTTTTGCTGCTTCACCGTGTTGTGTAGGGCGTGTAAGCTGCAAAAAGTGTGGAAAGCCAGTGACAGACCCCAGTCGTGGCACTCACTTCTTCAGTGAATACTCTCAGAATATACCATGCCCACATTGTGGTATTCCAGATTTTCATTTTGTAAAGCCACTAAGTAGTTATGAAGTTCTTTGTCAGGAGATAGACACTTGTTGATCTTCTGAATTTATCTTCTGAAATTTTCTCTCGGAAGAAATCTATAATTGGCCACATAAAATGTAATCCAACTCAAGTAAAAAAAAATGCATGGCTGAGCTTTGTTGTCTCTTGTTAACATTCAAACAGTGTTTACTTTAACACATTACACACTAAGCAGTGGTCATTATTTTTGTCGTCACAGGTGTTGAAAGTGTATTGTAGATGTACATGCGTACATTATGATGTTTGTCAGATGAACACAGTGATGGAATTAAATCAGTGCTGCTGATCTGCATGTGCATCTCGATTTTCTATTGTTGAAAATTTGGAACTTGTCAGTTTCTTTTCATTGCTGCTATACATGTATCATAAGAACTTGCTACATAATGCTGTGAATTGATTTGTACCTATGTAAATGTAGATCTGAAAAATGGTTGGGCTTAGACTTGGAAAAATCATTGTCAACTGTCTAACGTTTAGTTTCAATGTCAGTAAGTGCTTGACATTCATAGTTTTATTTGAGTCTGATGAATTTCAGCATGAAATAATATATTCACTGTAATACCATTTGCATTAAGAGAAATTACTGAAAAAATTGTATCCAGTTTGAAATACATTGTACATTTTTGGTCACACATCATCACTTGCCAGAGTTTCGTGGCTGCCCTCAATTTAAAGAAAGAAAAAAAAATTCCTTATGTTTTCTTTTCTCATAAAGATGTGTTTTTTCCATTCCATTAATTATTTATGGCTTATACCACAGGCCACTGGTCCCCACTTGAAAATTGTTCCGCTGCCAGTGGTGATGCATGCCTATAGTGCACTTTACATGTAGCTGTCGTGGCTCTGGACATTACAGTTGAACCTCATTAATAAAAGGTGCTGCGGACTGTGCAGATTATAAAGAACAAAGGATTTGAACCAAATCATTTCTGATTATTGACCACTTGATGCTGGATGAACACATAAACACACCCAAATTTCCCTATTTGTTTCACAGAAGATGTGCACGCTTGTCTAAGAATTTTTTTTTATTTCTTGGTTGAAGTATTCATGCAGTGTGTTAGTTACATCAAAGTGCTGACACTGCTACTTAGTGGACCCCCTCCCCCAAACTAATGTCAGTAAAACTGAAATGCCTTTCTTCAGTAATTAGAATTGAATTTGGGAGCCCACACCATGCACAGAAAGCTGAGGGGATTATAGACCTCCTTTGTTTGGGTAAGCCTATTTGCTAAGGAGCAAAGCCACACTTAAATGAGATAAGGTTACAAAATCCCAACTGGCAGCTCCTTTGTATTGAAATAATTGGTAAAAAACACACATGGCCACAGGTGATTCCTATGTGCAATGGACCTTTGTTTATGAACTGGTTGACGTCTGGACACGTGCCCCAACTTTTACCATGGCAGTTGAAAAAACAGGAAAACCAATGAAAATACTTATGCTTAAACTCGAGCTGTGCCTTCCAACATACTTTATGGGTGTAATGGATAAATTGTAGAGTTGAAGAATTTGCTGGGAAAAAGCCCAGCCCCAGCAGCTTTTTTACTTAACAAAATCCAACCTTTAACTGATTGAGGTTTGACTGTGTGTAATGCTGTAATACTAGCATAATATTTTATGCGACATACATGTACATGTATTTACGAGGTTGCGGCCCCAAGTTCACTTTGGATGGGGATAAGTCCAATTTGTACCAATAAAATATAAATTCCCCTTTGACCAGTTTTGTTCTACTCCAAAAGACATGACCCTTAAAATCAATTTTGAATGGCCTCGTACATGGGATAAAGTGTAATTTTTCATGATTTTCTACATTAGGAGTGTGTTACTTAATGGCCTACATATTGCATGTTTTGGTTGGTTGATTTATTTCCTCATATCACAATAAGAATATAGTGAAGCACAGTTAATTACAGAATGAGTAGGTGTCTCTCAATCACGTCACCTATAGGTTGCCATGAGCATTGTCAGTTTTTACTCCATTTTTTGTGATGTGCTTTGGTTGCGTTGTATTTTAAAGATACTTGGATCAGCATGTGTAATTTTAGAACATTTTGCACACCGCATGCAAACGCACCTGTTGGCGGCGTTGATGTAGTTGCAGTTTACCTACAAAGATGGCATCTAACGAGAGAGGTCAATAAGGGGTGATGAATGGCGGATACCAGGCAGAAAGCAAATACTTGTACATTGCCTGGTTCTTTAATTGTATTCCAATAGTATCCATGTGGGAATATATTACAAGGTAGAGAAGTGAGGGAGGAGAGAGTAAAAAAGTAAAATGCTTGTGTAGTAAACATGTATGGTTAACTTACATAATGTACGTGTTCAGTAATGAATGCTCTGTTATTGCATACATGTATATGTACACATGAACAACAGTATCCATATACATTAACTTATGGGTATACTTGTTTGTGCTAAAGTCCTAAATTCTCTTGATTTTTTAACGTTGACAACACAAGAACAATGTGTTGTATTATTGTTCCATTGGTTGAAGTATACATCTACTTGTGCATACACAGAATTATTGTGTACGTGTACACACATACAAAATTATTGCAAGTAAAGGTTATTGACTGGCTAAGAATTTCTTTTGTAAACTGTTTTACTGAAGAGGGTGCCTTTCTTGGTTTGTTGTAGCACTTACTTTGAAAGCTACTGAAATTCTGAAACGATGAATGGTTCATTGACAAATTTAAAGACGTGACAGAATATCCTTTAGAGTTTTATTGTGTACCAGACGTAAATTTATGTTGTGCTGTTTTTGTTCGATTAATTACTAAAATTTATCAGTGCTCATACTTATTTTTGCAGAATAGTCCGAAATGCGTAATTACTTTATGGTATTATTCAACAAAACATCAGAAGATTATTGACTGTTACTTTGTTGTAAAAGTGGCTGCAGTGCAGTTTGCTGTGCTCCATTTAAAAATTGGATGACATCTGATCAGTTGCTTGATGCTGTACTTGTAGGCTGATGATGTGTAGATGTACACTGTACATGTACCTGCTGCGTATGGCTCTGAACTGCTATATACATGTAGCTCCGAAGGAAGGCGAAACCAAAGTTACAGACCAAAAATCTTGCTCAACATGTAACTTGCACAATATACGGATTTGGTGTCATCTCAAAATACTTTAGTGCATGTAAATACGTATACATCCAGTGGGTGCAAAATTGAATGGCCATGGACATGAAAGATTGTCACAAGAAAAAATAATCAGACTTTTATTATGAAAATATAAGGGGGGTACCCGCTGTCCAAGTACATTTTTAATAAAATCTTTTCTCCAGTTTTGAGGCTCACTATTTAGATTCACATCAGAAGATAGGTTTAAAGATCAATCACATTTGTAATTCACAATTCACCTTTTATGAAATTTAGTTGTATTTAAATTATGTACAAACTGAATAAAGATTGCTACTGATGTCAAAAGCAGGAGTTGAAGTCTTCCATATCAAGCAAACTGAAAACAAAGTTGTTGGGAGCATCCTGTAGAAGCCTGTTCAGATGTCACACTACAGCTTTGCAATTATACAACTTCCATTATGGGGCGAAGCGCCCGTGTGTGAGTGCTGTGCTTGCTTGCACATAACTGAACTAAAAGAGGTCAGACAGTGAGAGTAACTTGAAATTGCTTTTCCTTTGGCAGTGTTGATCAACAATAGATTGTATGATAAAGTTCAACTACCCCAATTTGAACTGGAGTGAGGTCCTGATGAATTTTAGGCAGATGCCTGCAGTCATTTGCCGAGAATGACATCTCACAAGAGCCGTTTTATGACATCAAATTGCTAGATTTGTTTGCTACCCTCATCAACACTTTTTTTATTCTGAGCATTCTTGTGGTGGAACTGAACTCCCCAAATGAAAAGTTTTTATAAATACGAAGAGAAGCTGCCACGTTAGTTTCGATGGTAACAATGACTGATTCCTTGTTAAATAACCATTTTATGTCAAAGCAGTGTGATTGATCTTTAAAGTCCTGAACTTGATTGCAAAATAGATTCGCAGAATGATATCTTTGGCTAATGTTAGTTACAAGTATTTGCTACCACTGATAAGTGTTGGTTACAATGTTCATTCAGCTCTTTTTGGCTTTTTTGAGATTTGTTTTTTGAAAATTAGCAAGTTACTTCGGGACACGGATTATCTTGAACCATCATGACCAAGTTTGCAGAGGTCATCAGATGATGATTATGATTTCTAGTGAAGACGAGGTGTGGACAGCACATTGTGTAATTGCCAACAAAACATTTTGACACTATTTAAATAATTTGATAGGTCTTTAAAGGAAAAAATAAAAACAAGTTAAAAAATAAGGAGCTGTAGCTATTTCAGAAAAATACCAACATTGGAATTTAAAAACCCAATGTTGGAGATGCACGTGTAGAGTGGGAACTCTTGAGTGAATGCAATGCATTAAGCAAACTGACACTGCTGTTGCATCTTGTCATTTTATGAGGCGTTCCCGTAGGGTCCTGAATCATAGGATGTGGTAGTAAAAGAAATCAAGTGCATGCAGGGAACACAAACTTTTACAAAGTGATGGTCATTATCATGATGGTACATGTATTTGCCTCATAAAAAACTAATTGTACAATTAAGAAAATAAACTCAAAAGATTGTCTGTCCTGGTTTTTTTTAATAATTGCTTTTCTCCTGCAGGTGTGGTGAGTTAACAGTGTACAGATAGTAGTCAGATTTTAATCTGAGGTACTGTATGTAGTAGTTAAAACTGCATACTATAGATGCGTATGCTAAAAAATGGAAATATTAATTGTAAGCACAGGTCATTGCCCTTAACTTTCACAGAATCTTGACTTCCAGGGAAGGGGGACTCTCAACAAATTGGTAATACACAATAAACAACTTTAAAAACACTTGTTCCTTAATTGCGGACAACTCACTTGATAAAATTCATAGATTTGTGGCTACAAAAACATTATGAAGACAAACACTTGACCCCATGATTTAGTTTGGACCTCTGAGGAAAAAAATTGTCCTTACAATGTGATGGCCTTGGCACACATACAACATGCAGTACCCTTCAACTGCATGTGCAATGTACGTATACATGTATGTATGGACAATTGTAAATAAATGTAGCTCTTGAAAAGAAAGCTTTCGAGTGATAAATGTCAGCTGATTTCCTTTTTTAATTACAGGTCTTGCCCTTACTTGACATATATTCGTAAAGAGTATATACTTGGTGCTTGTCTGCAAGGTCTCGCCCAAGCACTAACATCTCCCTGACACAAAGATTTCCTCATTTTAGTATGTCATCTATGCCTACATTTGTGCTGTCATCTGTGCCTACACTAAATGCTTTTTCAACACGGAAATACTTAATTAGTATAGAGAGTAAGATTTAAGCTTTGCATGGTGGAAGAGACATGAGAAATGGGTTTGGGGGTACACCATGGAATCAAACTCTGTTGGGCGAGGTGTGGTTCTTAAAAGAACCGGTGAGTGTTAACTATAAGGGACCCGTATGCCGGGGGGGACGGGGATGGCTTCGGGTAGAGAAGACCCTAACGCCTGGGGTGGGGGCATGGGTTTCGGGGACCCTAATTTCCCGGGTCTCCCATACCCGAAGTCCCCCCATCCCCCATGGCATTAGGGTCACCTGTACCTGAAGCCCACCGCCACAGTATGTCTACCGTACCGGGGCCCCACCTCCCACCAACTCCGGAGCATCCTGCAGTCGGCCAACATCAACGTACATCATTCAGCACCCAACAAGCTGCAGGCTGCACTTCACACTGACAAGGACAAGCACCCACCGGCCAAGTATACATCAGGGAAACCGGCAGGAACCTCCCCACCAGACTTCAATAACACTGTCGCACAGCCGACGAGGAGAATATGACAAGTCAGCCGTCATCAAACATGCACACTCCACGGACCACCACATCAAATGGGACAGAGCAGAACTCATCAACGCCATCCAGAACTGGCTTCCAAGGAGAATCCGAGAAGCCATCGAGATTTTCTAGCACGACATCGTATCCCAAGACATCAAGCTCAGCGACATCTGGTGCCCACTACTAGCACCCAAGCAGACACCCACTCCGGGGCAGTAAGGTCCCCTATACACGAAACCCATGCCCCCCACCCCAGGCGTTAGGGTCTTCTCTACCCGAAGTCACCCCCCGTTCTCCCCCTTTGCATAAGGGTCCCCCTATACCCGAACCCAAGGTTTCCCACCAATTCCAGGATCCAATACCTTCATGCAACAGCGCATATGCTGAGTCACACAACCCACAAATCCCGTTCCACGCTCCACCGCTTCTGGATTACCTTTATAAGCAGCTGTCCGTTCCACCCTCTCCTCAGGATGGCCAGAGTACACTGGCTGAAACATCAAGTTATCACTCACCGGTTCTGTTAAGAACCACACCTCACCACAAACCCATTTCTCATAGTATAGCGAGTACATCCTAGAGAACTGATCAGAGGGATTCTGTCACACCATGGGTCTGATTTTCCCACAGAGGACGGCAGTGATGAGGAATGCAATAAACAGACAAAGGATAAAAGGCAGAACATTCGATTGGCATTAACTGCGTGAATATTTGTTGACCATTTAATCCAAAACGTAAAAGAAAATATCCAAAAATGTATGTACAAAAATTCAGGAAAATTACACTAAATGGGGTTGACCTCAAA